GCGGGCCCCTGGAGGAGAAGAGGTCTCCGTGTGCAAAGAGCGCGGGGCAGCCTTCACACGGCTGGCGGACCTGGCCCAGCCCCAGTGCGCCCACACTGCGGACGAGCCCTTCGCCTGCGCCCAGTGCGGGAAGTCTTTCCGGACGCGCACCGCCCTGCAGGTGCACTGGTGCGCACACGCGGGCGAGAGGCTGTACACGTGCGTCGAGTGCAGCAAGGCCTTCGCGCAGCACCTGCAGTTCATCGCGTCCCCGCGTGCGCACGCGGGGGAGCGGCCCTACGCCTGCGGCCACTGCGGCCGGGCCTTCGCCCTGGTTGCCCACCTCATCGACCACCAGCGGCTGCACGACGGCCAGACGCCCTTCGCCTGCGGCCTGTGCGGCAAGCCCTTCGCCAGGCGCTCCTCGCTGCTCGGCCAGCAGCGGGTCCCCGAGAGCCAGAAGCCCCACAAGTGCCGCGTGTGCGCCAAGGCCTTCCGGAAGAAGTCGGACCTGGTCAACCACCACCGCATCCACACGGGCGAGCGTCCCTTCCGGTGCTACGAGTGCGGCAAGGCGTTCACGCAGAGCATGACGCTGGTGGAGCACCAGAAGACGCACACGGGCGAGAAGGCGCACCCGTGCCGCGCCTGTGGCAAGCGCTTCACCAAGTCCTCCGCCCTGGTCCTGCACGAGCGCATCCACACCGGCGAGCGCCCCTTCCGCTGCCCCGAGTGCGGCAAGGGCTTCAACCAGAACATCCAGCTGGTGGTGCATCTGCGGAGCCACACGGGCGAGAAGCCCTTCCAGTGTGCCACGTGCGGGAAGCGCTACAGCCAGAAGGGCTACCTGAGCGTGCACCAGCGCACGCACACCGGCGAGAAGCCCTTCGAGTGCGGCCAATGCAAGAAGGCCTTCAGCCAGAAGGCCCACCTGTCCATCCACCTGCGGATCCACACGGGCGAGAAGCCCTACCGCTGTGGCGAGTGCGGAAGGAGCTTCCGCAAAGTCTCCTTCCTCTTCCAGCACCAGGCCATCCACAGTGACGAGAGGCCCTTCAAGTGCAGTGTCTGCGGGAAGGCATTCATCCGCAAAGCCACCCTCGTCCAGCACGGCCGCATCCACACCGGGGAGAAGCCCTACCACTGTGCTCAGTGCGGGAAGGCCTTCCGGCACCAGCCCACGCTGACCGCCCACCGCAGGATCCACACCGGGGAGAAGCCCTACCAGTGCCAGGCCTGCGGCAAGGCCTTCCGGCGCATCGGGAACCTCACCTGCCACCAGAAGACGCACGCTGGCGAGCCGTCCCCCGGCTCCCCCGGCGGGTCAGGCGTGCCAGGCGGGCAGGAGCCTGCAGCCCACGTGGCTGCTACCTGAGCAGCAGGGGCCATTCCTTGCCTGTTTGGAAGGAACGTGGGATGTCATACGCTGACAGGGCCGTGTCCCTGAGGTGGCCCATAGCCTCGAGTTGCCACAGAACCCTCTGGGGCAGAGCGTGGTGGTGACACTGTTCCGATGGCAAGGTCAGCAAGCATTTATCACAGGATAAACAGGACGGGGCAGAAGAGCAGCACACGTCACCAGCAGCCCAGGCTTCCTGAACTTAGGCTCCCACCCAAGCCCGTCCCGGATCACGGCCTAGGAGGAGAAGGTCGAAGTCCCACTCTCCTGGGCTCAAATACTAACAGGACAGCCACGGCCAGTGGGAAACAGCATGTGCAGAGAAGAGGGACGGGAAGGGGGGTGCTAAGAAAAGGGGACTTCGTCGTCCAGCGATGCGAGAGCGGAAATGCCTCGTGGGAGCGGCTTTCCCAAACACGTGTATCCTCTCACAGGTTAGGGGCTGGAAGTTGGAGTCAGGGTGCCAGCTGCTGGGGTGGGCTTGTGCTCCGTGTGGGGTGCACGCTCTGTCTGGGGCAGGTCCTTGTCCCTTTCTAGCTTCCGTTTCTTGGTTCCTTGGCGACCCTCCCTGACGGCATCCGTCTCCTGCATCTCTGCTGTCTGATCGGCTCTGGCTGGAGGCGCACCCCACACTAATGACCCTCCCTCACACCAAACCAGACTCCCATTCCCAGATGGGATTACAACACCTAGTTTTGGGGACACAGTTCCGTCCGTAACAAGTAACGGTGGTGGAAGGTGCCCGCAGGCAGTTGACGTCACTCGTTGCCCCTGTTGCGGGGAGGGAGGTGACCCACTCCCGATGGGCTGCTGGAGGTTTTGCTGGCGTCCGAGAACAGCCCTCTGTCCTTTCCTCACTAAGCTTCCCAGAGTCCCAGGCAGTCATTCCCCCAAGCTGCACACTTCCCTTTGTGTCCATTAGCAGCTGAGGACACGGTGACAGGTATTCTATGAGCAGACTTCAAAGATCTGTGGGTTTGGGTCCAGACCGCTGCCAAAGCGAATACTGCAAGAAGACGAGTCACGGAGGTTTTGGTTTCCCAGTGTGTATAGGCGTTCTCTTGACCCTACATTGTAGTATTAAGTGTGCAACAGTGTGATGAAAAGCTTGGAATACTGTGAGAATGACCAAAGTGGGGCACACGAAGTGGCCACATGGTGTCACAGTGGTGCTGATACTCGTCCGTGACGCGGCTGCCGTAAGCCTGTGACGAACAGGTCCACAGAGTGCCCCGGGGACTGCGGCCGTCTGGGTGCTGAGAACTCTGGGGGGATGTGATCTCTTCAGGTACGGAGCCCCGCACGCGGAAGGGAGCCGGCTCTGCCTGTATGGATACCTCACGGGTGCTGTCTTAAAATCCTAGGAGAAAGGACCTTGCTTTTCATTTTGCACTAAAATAAAAAACCAAACCCATTGCATCGAGTCGATTCTAACTCACAGCGACCCCGTGTGACTGTGTAGAACTGGGCCATGGGGTTTCCTGGGCTGTCACCACAGAAGCACGTCATGGGGTCTTCTCTCCCAAGGAGCTCCTGGTGTAGCCCACCCATCATTCATTTAGCAGACGAGCACTTAACCACTGTGCCACCAGGATTCATTTTGCAGTGGCCCGCAAAACGCGCTGGTTTTGAGGGCAGAGACTCGGTCAAACCTGTTACCTTCAGGTCACTGCTAACTTGGGTTGTCCCCGTGGGTTGCACAGTAGGACTGTGCCGTACGGGTTTCTTGGCTGTGAGCATCGTGGAAGCGGGCGGCCGGGCCTGCCTTCCGCCGCTGGGGTGGGCGCAGACTGCCAGCCTTGAGGTTAACTGAGCGCCAATTGTTTGTGCCACCCTGGGATAGCAAAGCGCATCCTGGGGGCCAGAGCTGGCCCGCGGCCTGTTTTCGTTTGGCCTGCAGGCTAAAAATGGTGTTTACAGTTGAAAAGGGCTGTTGGGGGAAAAAAAGGACATGCCACAGAGACCACGTCTGGTCTTCAAAGGCTGAAGTATTTACCGTCAGCCTTTGCGGGGGGCTCTGGAGTGGTGCCGCTGGTTCACGTGGTGGTGGTGTGTGCTGTCAGGTCAGACCGGACTCACAGCGACCCCTCCTTGGGTTTCCGAGGCGGTATCTCTACGGAAGTAGATTGCCCCGTCTTCCTTCCGAGGAGTGGCTGGTGGGTTTGAACCGCCAGCCTTCTGGTGAGCGGTCAGGTGCCTCAGGCTCTGCGCCACCAGGGCTCCCAGTGGTTAATGTGCTCAGCCGCTAACAGAGCTTGGAGGTTTGAGTCCACCCAGCGGCACCGGGAGAAAGGCCTGGGTCTGCGCCCGGGAATCAACCACTGAGAACCCTGTAGGGTGCGGTTCCGCTCTGGGGGACCAGGGGGCGCCGTGAGCCCGCATCCGCTCGCCAGCTGGTGGCGTCCCGCGGGCACTAGATACAGGCCCCGTCTCTGCCCAAGCGGATCCTCGCCTGCTCTCAGGGGACCTCTGTGTGTGTCCGTTGAGGGTGGGCTCGTCCCTTCTCATTCCAAGTGCAGGGATTCAGACATGAGACAAGGCACTTCACTGCTCACCAGAAGGCTGGCGGTTCGAACCCACCAGCCACTACTAGGAAGGAAGGTTGGGCAATCTACTTCTGTAGAGATACCGCCTCGGAAACCCAAGGAGGGGTCGCTATGAGTCGGATCTGATTTGAGGGCAGTGAGTTTGTGGTTTTTTTGGTTTGGTCGTGGCCACCGTACAGTTAATGCACTTGACCGCTAATTGAACCTTCCCAGTGGCTCCATAAAGATTAACCTACAACAAAACAAAAAGCCAAAGCCAGCAAGTCGAGTCCGACTTACAGCGACCCCCTTTGGGTTTCCGAGGTGGCAAATCTGTACGGAAATAGATCACCCGGTGTTCCTTCCGCAGAGAGGATGGTGGTTCGGAACCGCCAACCATCGGTTTGCAGTCAGATGCCTCAGGCTCTACGCCACCTGGGAAACCCTACGGGGCAGTTCTCTTCACGTGGGGTCCCTGAGCTGGAATCCACTCGACACCACGAAGAACAGGCCGTATTTGTGGCTCACATCAACCACTGTCCTCACTCGTCCACCCGTCGCCGGGCCATGGGGCGAGGGTTAAAGCACTTGGCTGCCAACCAAAAGGCAGTACTTTGAACCCACCAGCGAGTCTGTGGGAGAAAGACGTGTCAATCCACTTCCCT